TAGTGTCGCGGCTCGCGCTCCTCCCCCGCCCGCGGGTAGGGGTAGGAAGAATCGCGGGTCAAAGGAAGGTGAGTAAAAGACCTAAGGGATGTGATCCATTTGAAATGGAAAGGGTTTGTACAATTGTAGACAGATTGGACATTTACACATTAGAAATGTGTCCTTGAGGCCTAGCAGTCCAAGCTTTTTCATGAAGCCAGGTAAAATGACATGGTTTTTTGAGCAAATGTATTTTGTTTTCCAATGAACCTGGGTTGTAAACATCCTTTTTTCTTTCTTTCTTTTTTTCTTTCTTTCTTCCTTTGGAAATCCAAATTGTAGCCATTTGTCACAACCATCTATTTCATACAAGTAGCAAAATCTTACCTGACCCTACCGATGAAATCGTACAAAATGGAGGTAGTTGCCTTGTTTGCAAACTGCTGTTTCATTGATTCTCTTAAGTACTGTACCTCCCCCTCAAACAACATTTGAAATTGCAGGTTCAATGTAATGCAAAACTGTGAAAATCCATAATTTATTTTTATTTTTTTAATTATTTGAGCATCCGGATTATCACATAATTCCTGATCTATATGTGCACTGCTGTATTCTGCCAAACCTTCATAATCTGATGAGAGACTTTGCTTTCAGTTGTGCCCTGAAATATAGGGTTGTTAAAAAAAATTGCTTACAGCAGTAACATCTATTTGACGGAGTGAAGACTAATCATTCCCTCAGATGAACCTGTCCATTTCTCTTCTGTCTGTAAAAGTGGTCCCTTGTTAAACAGCTTCCTGTCAGCGGTACACCTTTTGGCCAAACTTAAACTAAGATCAATAAAATATATTGGGGTTATTTTTTTTAACACTACTGTTCCAAGATGCTGGCTACTAAAATATATTTCCATCCAAATCTGCAAATTTAAATTTGGAATATCACATACAACATTTTCGAATAAAGCATCATTTCCATCTAGCGAGCAAAATCATAACTTCCTGATAAACTGGTGCCAAATATCACTAAGGAAAAGGTCATTTGTTGCAGTATAAGAAGCCACTGTTGGTCTTTTTTCATATATAATAAATTGCTTTCGCCTCAGAATGCGCAAATAAAATGCAGTATACACAGTCATGTTTTCTTGCTTTCGAAGCCGGATGCCTGCTGTTTGGGAATGCAATCAAACCACTTTAATGACATACTTTGGCTCAGGGATTTCAGAATGACCAATACAACATTTCAGAAGATATGCAATGAGATCAGTCCAGTTACGCTGTCCCATGGCACAAAATCACATGATTTTTTTGATGTGCATTGAGGATTTGTTTTGGTAAATGTGTTTCCATCGTAGTTTATGTGCATGTTTTCTCATTGGATAAAAAAAAAAAAGAGAATGCGCTCAGCTGAGGTTTTTTAAAAAAACATTTTTATGCAGTATCCCAAAATGCGCATAAAACTAGGTGGATGGAAACATGTTAAGCGGTCTTACTCCAGCCTAGCATCTGAGATACAAATTGTTCTGAGATACATCAGAGCTGACAAATTGTTATACGAGTATGGTTTTAAGGACAGACACAGGGAAAGGGCACTGATTGTTCTGTGTGATAAAACCTGCAGTGAGTTGGGTGGCTTTGTGAATATACGCAACCTGTCGTTCACCTCCCACAGTGGAACTTCTTCATTCATGTTTAGTGGCCTTATTATACTTCACATTAGCAACTAAATGGAGTCATTGTCCAAAATGCAATAAGGAGACGGAATATTTGTCCCCAAAGAGCCGTATCTGTCATGGCAGATGTCTTACTTGCAGATCAGCCTACGGATTGGATGGTGAGAGGACAGGAGAAAATGAAGACAGTTGTTAGCTCCTCAAATTGAAATTTGGGATCCATTATTTAGCTGTCACCACACAAGAGCATGGATCCACTGATAATGCCACTAACAGCCCTCTCTGCTTGACTGTTTGCTTGAAAAGCCATGGAAAGAGAACCATGCAGTAAAAATGGACATGCTGTGTTTGTTTCATTTTTTATTCTGCTCCATATATGCACAGTTAGAATGCTGTCAAAAGTATTCACAGATGCCCCAGCTAACAATTTTAGGTTCTAAAAACATTTTCAAAACATTTCATTTTGGTTGTGGGAACATTGTTGTGGAATGTTTCTGAAACGTTAAAATGTCCAGTTTTCTTGTTGTGATAATAACGTTATTTAAAGGTTATCAAAACGTTTTGTATAACGTTTGACTAACTTCATTTCCTACCAAAATATAACGTTCTTTAAACATTTGTTTATAATATTCTAAGAAAGTTAAAATATCCGGTTTTCTTATTGTGATAATAACGTTATTTAAAGGTTATCAAAACATTTTGTGTAACGTTTGACTAACTTCATTTCCTACCAAAATATAACGTTCTTTAAACATTTGTTTATAATATTCTAAGAAGGTTAAAATGTCCAGTTTTATTGTTGTTATAATAACGTTATTTAAAGGTTACCAAAACATTTTGTATAACATTTGACTAACTTTATTTCCAACCAAAATATAACATTCTATAAACATTTATTTTCAATATTATAAAAATGTTATACTGTCCAGTTTCTAACGTTATTAAAACGTTATTTATAGGTTACAAATACACTTCTTACAACATTCTCCTAACTTTATTTTCACCCAAAAAACAACGTTCTTTGAACACTTATTTTTAATATTCTAAGAAATGTAAAATATCCAGTTAATTAACCGTGTTTAGAACATTAATAAAAGGTTACAAAACCGTGTGTTACAACATTCTTCAAACTTTATTTTCACTCAAAATATAACCATTAATATTGAACATTAACAATCTGAATATTAATTTTTAAAAGTCTAAAAGGTTCTGAATTCAAGTTACATATTAACTTTGGTAACTAAGTTGTAAGCAAATGTTTCTAAATAATAAAAACCTAAAAGCTAAAAGTTAAACTTACAACTAATGTAAAATTGCCTTATAAAACATTGAAACTTATTTAAATATTAAAATATGCATGAACATTTCACAAGAAACATTAAACATGTATTAGGCCAAATACAATTTTAGTCTGTGTGTACACTGGATTCCTGTGTACACCCGTGTAATGTCTCCTCATTCTCCACCTGTGAAGTGAACAGAACATTAGGAAGTTATTATTTTTGATCGTAAGACATTCAATTTGGCTACTTCATACAACTGAATTCAGTTCCTTATCTTTGCATTAACGTTTTAAAGGTGCAGTAGGAGATCTTGGAAAATGCTAACTTTAGTCTGATAGCACTGAAAGCGAAAGTCCCACCCTCCCCGCAATCGCCGTCCTAAGCCACGCCCCCAATTCCCAATTCCAATGTTCTGTAAAACATGATTCTGAGAGGTTACAAATTAACTAATAAAAATATTTAAAATCAGTATTTTATGTCTGATCATTTACTTATGTGGCAGCCAAGTAATAAGTAGGATAATGTACATCCAGCAGTCATTACCCTCCGATTCACATCAGGGTCCTGATCATCCTGGAGGGGTTTATTCTGCGATAACACCCGACCAAATGCAAGCAACCCATTAGAAAAACGTTTATTATTCTAGTAGCCTAATCTGCAATTAATAGCTTCAGAGAAAGTGGACTTGCAGTCATTTTAAATTAGGCTACCAACATTTCAAGGATTTAAGTATATTTAAGCATATTTATTGAATAAATTAACAGCGCAGGGCAAATTTAATACTCACCCACATTGGTGCTGGGAGTTTTGTCTATCGTAAGTGTGTCTGACATGTTGTCTACTGAGATTAAAGAATAAAATATTACAATTAATAGGTTGTACTTTAAAATTAAACATTACCTCAATATGCATAAACTAATATTAAGTATTCATCAATTATGCATTCCTCTCTTTTGTATAAAAATGTCAATTTAATATATTTAAATTGCAAGTATAACCATTGAAATCTCTTTCACCTTGATAATGTTCTTCCATTTCAGATGTTGAAGCAATGCAGTTCTCTGTTTGTGAGGTACTTGAGAAAACACCTGAAAAATAAAAAAAGGTTTACTAGCAGCTATCTGAGATATCTGCTATGCCTAAGTGTGCTTGCAAAAAATACTCACAAGGCTCCGTTGTTGCTTTTGAATAATGGCAAGCCATCAATATTCAAAGAGATGTCCAGACATTCTAAATGAGAGACAACACTATGGGGGTACATTTTTAAGTATTTGTGCATCTTTTCTTTGCAGCCAAAATAGAAATACTGCATTCCAGATTTCACTTCAAAAGTCAGAGTCTCACAAGTTCCAAGCAATGTTCTTGCAGTTCTTGGAAATTCTGGGTGATATTCTCCAAGAATCTTAAGAAGGCCATCCACTGCATTGTGTTTTACCTGAAATTTGCTGACCCATTGTGCAAGTCTAACATTTAGGGGCAGTATGCCATCTACACTTTCATCATCAGGTATATCAACAGAATCAGAATCTGAATCATAATTTGCTTGAGCTCCCTCAAATTCAACAGGATTCTGTGTTACCTCAAGAGGCTGTATTTTTGGGGTCTCTAGATTATTAGAGGTTGTTTCAGATTCCACATGAGACCTTTTTGCAGATTTATGCTGGTCTCTTTTAGCTCTCTTCCAAAGAGTATTGTATTTTTGTTGTGATGACATATTGTCAATTACCACCCCTATAAAACTCTTAAAATCAAAAACATACCGAGCCAGATTCCATTTTCTACACTTTCAAAGCAGTCACTGTTGGAGGAAAAAATAAATATTCAAAATTAGTAGAGACCAACACACACGATTTTTAAACATAATACATATTAATATCTTACACATTCATTTAAACATGTGGTGGTTTGTGATGCGTCTTGTTTTTATTATTTAAATAGATCAAAACGTTCCCAGAACGTTATGG